CATATATGCAAAACCAGAATGGTTAAGAGTGATTGATTCATAGATAAATAATAAAAATAGGAAGTCTAAGCATGGGTTCAAAAGCTCTGTAAAATCTCTCTCTCTTACAAAGTAGGATAAATGCTATGACACTTGGGTCACACTAGACATTTTGTAATCCATGATTTTAGTAATTAGAGAGTACTCACATGTTTTATTGCTGCACTTAAAAGCATGATTTCTTAATTGGTGATTTTAGACTCAGTTCCATGAGTTATATGCTTTTCTTAGCCAATCATCCTTTACCAATATAATTGATCTTGATGGTATTGTCTAGTATGGTTTGTTAGTTTGCCTATCCCGTAAACAAAAGAATGCAGCCAGGCTTTTATAATCTTTTTCATGTTGCATTATTTTTAAAAACTAAGTGTATTTTTGAGCACACAGAAAACTATATTAATAATCAGGGAATGAATTGCTATAGAAACTTCCCCTAAATTAATTAAAATATACTGTGTTGTTTACTTTATCCAGAAATAGTCTTGTAAAAGTAAAATAATATTACTTTTTCTAATTCAGTATTATTTTCAGACCTGATACTTTGCATAATTTTTACTAGTTTAATAATTTTAATTTTTGTATTATTACTTCATAGTGCAGTCATAGAGTATTTTTTTCCTTTTTGTTTTATATATAATATTTAAAGATTATGTGCAAACTTATACGAGGTATTTGTAAGTAGCTAAGTTTTCAAGTGTTGCCCATATGAGCTGTGTTTTTACATAGAATGTTTGATGTGTCTTAATGTTCCTAACGGGGGAAGAATATCTAAATTATAACCCATTGTTGCAAAGATCGATGGATTATGATGATCTGATTAAGTCGGTCTTACTAAATTATTGCTGCCCTATATACATAGAAAAAGAATAAATTATCAACCATGCAATAAAAGGGTATAATTATATGAAAAGAATTCTGTGGACATCTATAAATCATGAGAGCAAAGCTAGAATGATTTCCCACCAGAACCCTAAGGTAGAATTTATATTTAATTTATTGCACACGTTTTTTTAATGCATGGGCAGAATTTTTTGTATGAGGTTTTGTTTTCATTTTTTATTCCAGCTTTCATGAAAATCAATATTATGAAGTCAGCTCAGCAAAAAGCCTGGTTTGAGGACCTTTTTTGAGAATACAAAGCTATTTTTAAATGCACATTTATTAGATTTTTAAAGGCTATCATGCTTATTTAATATAACCTTGTCCCACCCACATTTCATCTTTTCATTCTTTTCCATTTTTAGGGTTATATTTTAAAGGACTTTCTTATTCTAAAAAAAAATTAGCTGAAACAGCTCTCATATAAATCACAAGCAGAGGAACAAAAGTCAGCATTCTGTCTCTATTAAAAGTTGTTGATGTGGAAATGTGAACTGACATTCCCTGCAATCTGTAGACTGTCATGCAGTAGCTTTAGTAACTTTTTGCTGTTTTTACATAAGTCATAAGTGGGTGGAGACATTGCCTGTGCATATAGACTTTGTCTTCATTCAAATGGAGACAATTAATGAATACAATTGTTCAGTGCCCACACCTCAGTCCCACATCTTAATGTATGTGCTATAGTTCACCCAAGTGTAGCTTTCTTCACCCACTCTGCTAATCCAAGTAAAAATCAGTAATATGCACTTTTTATACATAATTTTCTCATACACTTTCCCTGTAGGTACTTGAAGCAAATTCTGATGACCAAGGAGAACATGTATGAGAAGGGCATAGAAATAAAAATATCGTAGGGTAGCTATTGTCCGATTTCTCCCTCTTTCAATGCAGAATTCTGTAAACATTTTAAATCATTCCTAGTTGGGAACAATTTGAAATACACCCATGCCATTTTATATTATTTACAGGCCAAATTGCATTAAGTCAACCTAGCCATTTATCATTATAATGCCATCAAATGCACACTTCCTCATTATTTGGGCTTTTCCCCTCCACGTCCTCCCATCTGCCACCTTCTCTGAGAGATAGGTAAAGATGAAGAAATACCTTTTCCTCAATTGCAATCATAACCTATGGCATTTGAGTAGAATGGAAACAACGATTATTCACTTGGAAAACAAACCAGTGCCCATGGCAGCTTCAGCAGTTGCCACAGGTTGCAGTGTGCCTGTTGTAGCCCCCTTACCCTGACAGGATAAGTTGTCTGCACTGATGATATGGGCTGGAGACAGCGAATGGCTTTAGTTCACAGATGCAAGATGTGTCTCCCAAAGTTTAGCACTGGCATTTTTCTGTTTACTATGGGTTTCTTTCCTTTATGAATTTATTAATAAGTGCCAAATTATGTTTTCTGTCTCAGAGGTCATAGCATCATTCATAGGCTCCTTGTAGATTGAAATAAATCTTACCCCTGTGACACATTCAGGATTTCTTGATGCTACTAACCACAAAGCAATGCATTTCCTTTGATCCAATGATTTTTAATTTATTTCAATCCTCACAAAATTGCTCTGTACTTTGAAACCGCATTTGTAGATAATGTCATGTGTGAAGTTCAGTGAAACGTTAGATTAAGGGAAAATATTAATTAAAAATCATACTTGTTCAATATTGGGATGATATTTTCAAAAGGAAGCAAGACTTTAAGCCAAGTACTCCAGATAGTATGTATTTTAAACATTAGCAGAGGTGAAATATGGATATTTGCATGACTAGATAGTAGTTAAGTATTTAGTATTTATAAAAGGAACGTACACAACAGCAGAAGTCTCTTGTGTTTTGGCAACAGAAGTCAAGGCATCATTCAGCATTGCCACTGGGTTTTGCCATTTATATGACATACCCAAATAAGGATTTGATTGGCAGCTCTTCAAATCTAATCAGACCTGGGGACACTTCAAAAGTCATGATACAAGGGTAGGGTTTGTGGCTCAGTGTTAGAGTGCTTGTCTGTCATATGTGAAGCTCTGGCTTAGATTCTTAACATCATTACAAAAAAACAAACAAACAACAACAACAACAACAACAAAAAGCCAAATAAAAGAAAAATACACATACCCCCAATCCAAACAAAATTAAAATAAAATGAATTCTTATACAAATTTTTAAGTCCTAAATTGTTTTGGTGTTATAAACTGCTTTGATTTTTAACTATGAAAAATTAAATTTCATTTAAAAGACTCAAGAAATGACACTTGAACCTATTCATCCTGAACAACTGTTTTTAAATTTGCAAAAAAAAAAAAATCCTGTCTTTTTATAACTATAAAGAGTTTAATAATTATAGCAATAAAAATCAGGGTGATTATTAATGGGCATTCCAATTCTGTGCTGTGTGATTTGCTTCTCAGTCCAAAGAGTGTTAATTATTATTATAATTCATTATTATATGAACTTTGTTTATGGAGACTCTTTGGGGGATTAGTATAATCTTCAAAAAATCTTTCAGGGAAATATAGCTCTGTTCTTGAAACGAATTACAAATAAGATGTTCATGTTATTAGAGGTATGCAAGAGAGAAAACTAGACTACATAATTTATGCAACTCTCTAAGGCAATGGAATATTCTTTTGAATAAAAATAACTTTGCATTTCTATATTTTTATCTTAGAAACTTACAGTCTAATTTTAAGTTCCTATATACTAAAGTCAAGTCAGAAAACTGGTTATATAGCTTACTTTATTTATGGTCACATATTTGTTTGTTTTAATTTATATTTCTTTATAATTTTGTATATCAAGTTTACATGATTTACTTTTTCTATTTCTGATGCGAGTATTCTTATAACTCCGAATATCTGTGTTTTTAGTTCCTGGGCCTGTCCCCGTCAAATCTCTTCAAGGAACATCCTTTGAAAACAAGATCTTCTTGAACTGGAAAGAACCTTTGGATCCTAATGGAATCATCACTCAATATGAGGTAGTGAGAGAATGAGGAAATTTAACTGAAATGTGGATGGGAGGAATAGGAGGGAGAAACAAAGGAAAAAGTTAGAGGGAAAATAATGGAAAAGAAGTGAGGATGAGAATTAATAATTTTTAAATCTTTTAAGTAAATTCTAGTTTTTTGTTTCTGTTTTAGGGAAGCATAGTTGTTGTCAACAGACTTACTGATGGTTATAATGAATCGTCATACAAAAAAAAAAACCTTGTTTTTCTACAATTAAGAAACTCATTTCACACTGTTTTAGGAGATGTTACTGAATATCAGTAGTTTCAGTGTAAGAAATTAGTGCCCAATAAAACAAATTATAAACCTGTTCAATACCTTCTTTGCAAAATTTGAATATAAATCATTGTATTTTCAAATATTAAGAGAAGAAAGGAAAGGATAATATCAATTGCACAGTGCTATTTCTGTATAGTCAATGTTGATTATAGACTAAATTCTAAAATTTCTGGTGACTGCAGAATGAAGCAAGACTCACTAACAGAGTCTTCTATTTTATAACTATGTTACTTGAATACTGCTTTCATGGAATGGTTTATATATCTTGGACAAAGTATAAAATGATGTTAATAATGTACATATCTTGAGTACTTTATATGTTTCATACACATTAAAGTAAGGTGCATGTGGTGGCATATGCCTTTGATCTCAGAAGCTCAGGTAGCAGGACTGCAAGTTCAAAGCCAGCCTCAGCAATTTAGCGAGGCCTTACACAACTTATGGAAAGGTTCTCAAAATTAAAAAGAGCTGAGATGTAGCTCAGTGGTTAAGTGTCCCTGGGTTCAGTCCCTGATACCATTAAAGTATGTAACTACAAAGTTCTGTATGTATGCATGCATATTTAAATGTCATTACACATTAATAAGTTAATACTTATTATTTTATTTTTTGATGGAAGAAAATACTTATACATTTATTGTCAGATAAAAATCTAGTATATCTTATTAATGCATAGATGATTTATAGATGTAAACAGAATGAAAAAAAGGGGGTTATTCACAGTTTATCATGACTTATAGTGGACATCTAATAGGAAACATATATTTTATGATTTCCAACAATCTTTTTATTGCATATTATAGCAAGTAATAAGCAAGTGCTCATTAAAAGAATAAATTAAGCTTCCCATAGAAAGCAAATGTGATGTTATTATCCATACTAGCAATGGTGTCTGATAACACATTTTTCGACCTAAACGGGCATTATGTAATAAGATTTAAAATGGAAATGTCCTTGAACTGTTGATTCTACTTCTTTAACTTAATTTACTTAAATCTCTATTTCAGTTATATCCTCATATGATAATGCATTTCTTAAAACAGGTCAGTTATAGCAGCATACGATCATTTGATCCTGCAGTTCCAGTGGCTGGACCTCCCCAGACAGTGTCCAATTTATGGAATAGCACACACCATGTCTTTATGCATCTCCACCCTGGAACTACCTATCAGTTTTTCATAAGAGCCAGCACAGTCAAAGGCTTTGGGCCAGCCACTTCCATCAACGTGACCACCAATATCTCAGGTATACAATGAAAAATGTGCAAATAGTATTGATTGCACTCTTGCTTTGTAATAGCATGATCTGGAGATTCATATGTCCACTGTGTTATTCATCTCACTTTTTGAATCTTTAATATGTTTATGCATGATTATATTTATGCATGATTGAAAGCACTTTAAAGAATCATTTAAATACAAATTATTGTTTATATGTCCAATTACAAACACTTTTCACTTTTAATTGGCAGTGGTTTTTTTAAAAAAATTACAATATATTTTTATTAACAATCTTCCAAAGCTCATTATAAATGACAATAGGCCTTATTATACTTTTGATAATTATTATGGTATCAGATTTCTACAAATGGATTTTTCTAAAAGAACAGTAGAGGATCTTTGCTCTAGTATCAGAGTGTCACATACCTTATCTCCATTACATTTTCCCAAACATTCTGATAATTTTAAACAAACATAGGCTTTTCATTTTCTCTTGGAAATCTCACATAAATTTATCTAAATTTCAGAATAGAAACATGCAGGAGAATTTTAACTTGATAAACAAATGTAATTAAATTTCACATTCCATTAATAATTTTATAGTTTGTTTGCATTTGACTACTTTGTTTACAGATGTTATTTCTCTTTCAGTCAAATCACCAGTTAAACCTGATTAAATTCTTGCTAGGAATTAGCATTATAATATGCCCTAAATCTACTTCAGTTTATATGACATTTTATCCTATTTATTTAAGGTTACTTAAATAACTATATTATATATGTAACTTGAGAGTTAAATTTGCAAATAAATGTTTTAAAGGACAGCCATACATATATTAAAATATTAATTTTGATTTTTGTCAGTTATTTTCATTCATTTTTAAAATTTTCATTATAGTTCTATATAGAATATACCAATGATACACCACACTACCCATTTAAAATTTTTGGCATTGTTCTGAAACTACAATTTGCATCAAAATGAAGAGACATATTCCTTGCATTGTTCTGTCTAAATTTTATTTGGAAATGTGTTTAATATAGTTTAAATTTAAAAGTTTGTATCACCAATGAAATTAGCTATTCCTATGTGTTACCTTGTGCAAATTTGATTTATATATATATATATATAAATGTAACTTTATTAGAATATTTGTTAATATTCTAATAAAGTTACATTAAAAACTTTATTCATTATATTAAAAAATCTTCAATTTAAAGTATTTATTTACTCACTTTATTAGAAAATAAGACTTGGTGATATTAGGATGTACAGGAATATGTTGCTAACCTCCAGACTTAGCAGTAGTGCAATAATTGAGTAAGATCTCTCCACAGAAACAGAAACTTTATATAAGCTTATAAAGCTGAGAATACTAAACAACTGTAAATTCTTAAGAGCCTAATATGTGTGTGTGTGGAGGAGTGTATTTCTCAAGACAAAGGTACTAAGTTTTCATTGAACACAAAAATATAAAGAAAAGAATTTTCATCTAATTTTTCTTTGAATCATTTATTTGTATCAACCTAAAAACAACGAGTATTTGACTGTACTTTAAAAACTTCCTTCCCATTTCCATATATTGAGAAAAAGTAGAAATTAAAGTCAGGCTAATAATATTGATGGTTAATATGGTTCTCAATATCACCTGGAATTTTTGAGTAATTTATTATTTATATATTGAGTCCAATAGTTGTATCCCCAAGCATCTTTAAAGCAATTAAGAGGAAGGTGAGATTAAGTTAATGGTTGAATGTCTATATGAATGTGCATAATAAATACACATATGCACATATACATAATGCACATATACATAGAGTGCATGTACTTTATTAATATTGTCGATTCTACTCCCTAAATTATACTTGGTTACTAATTTAACTCCTCCTTATATCATTGTTCCTTTTTTTTATTTTTCATTGGTACCATATTTTAAATACATGTTTGAGATGCTGTGGTTGTGATGCAGTGGTAGAACACTTGCCTGCCACGTGTGAGGCACTAGGTTCAATCCTCAGCAGTGCATGTAAATAAATAAAATAAAGGTCCATTGACAACTAAAAACCTTTTTTTTTTTTTAAATAAATACCTGTTTGAAATATCTAAGTGATATTTCAGCCTTCAGACTTACTTCAATATATTTTTCTGTATTTCCTTCTTAAATATTGTTTTAGTCAGTTGTGTTTTTGTTATTGATATTGTTTTTTCCTGCTGTGATAAAAATACCTGACAAGAACCACTTGAGGAGGAAAAGTTTGTTTAGGGAGCTCAGGGTTTCAGAGGTCTCAGGCCGTAGATGGCTGATTCAGTTGCTCTGAAGCACAGGGGAGGTAGAATATCATGGTGGAATGGCTTGATAGAAGAACACCACAGGTAACATGGCCTCAGGAAGCAGAGAGTAATAGACTTCACTCATCAGGGACAAAATGTATATTCCAAAGACGTATCCTCAATGACCTACTTCCTCTAGCTACACCCTGCCTGCCTTCAATAACCAGTCAGTTAATCCCTATCAGGGGATTAATTCACTGATTGGGTTAAGGCTCTCATAACCCAATAATTTCACCTCTGAATCTTGCATTGTCTCACACAGGACCTTTAGGAAGACACCTCATATCTTAACCATAACAAATATTTTCAAATGTTAATATACCCAGTAAGATAATGCCCACTCACCTACCCATGACTAGCATCTGTGGTCCGTCCTTGTACAGCTCCTCTCATCTTTCACTGCTCCCATGAATCCAAAGTCCAGGCATAACAAGTTGCTTGCAGTTTTTAGAGCACACAGTCCTTCTAGGTATTGCATCTTCAAACACTCTGCTTCCTCTCTCCAGAATCTTAGTCCATGCTGTCTCTTTCTGATGAGATTTTAGTTCTATCTTAAGTTTCAACTCAAATATTTCCTAAAACATGAAATCTTCCCTGTTTCTTTGTCCCAGCTTCCAACACAAAAGTAAAAAGTGTGGACCAACTTTACCAGGGAAACTTCTAGAAATGTCCAGGATCAGGTCTTTTTCCCAACCTACTGAAACCTTAACTGTAGAGGAGATGGGAGTAATCTGTTTAAGCAGCCCTCGGGGTCCTTCTGACCTTAGTCATATGGTGAACATTATTTCAACAAATTAACAGTCTTCCTCTTTGTACCAGCTATCAGTTTGGTATAGTTTTTGTTTTTTGTTTATAAGACTCTCATGCTTCATAAAATATTAATTCCTTTGTTCAATAAATGGATAACATTTTCAAATAATTTATTACCTGACATTTTATCTCAGTTATTTTTCTGGAAATAGACACATTTCACTGGGTACATATCTTTCAAATATCTTTCTACATAAAAATAGTTAAAAGGAATTTGTAGTTATTCTTTCACCTATCTTAAGTTTAGGAAAACTCTATTTCCCAATTAAATACTATTCAATATTCTTTTTATTTTAAGAATCTGGCAATTAATGCACTGTTGTTCTTTATAAATAAAAGCTGATGCCCATTAGCCACATTCACCTGCTATGTTTTCATTGTGATCACTGAGAGGAAAACAATCCAAACAAGAACACTAAGTCTTTCTGCAACATTTAGAGTGTAAATAGTTCCATCCTGCCAGGTAGACTTAACTCAGCTTATGCCCTTGCTACCTCCAGATCTTCATAAGTCACTCCAGTGCCAGTGCTCCTGATTCTGCTATTCCCATCTTCTCCCCATCTCTTCATTGCTGATTTGAAAGTCTCCAGAAACTAACTGAACACATCTTCATAAAATGCTTAAAATGTGTAATCACAAGTTGCCAGATTATTTTAAAAATTTCAGCAACAATTTTGATTTTATAGTTTTTTATGCTTTACATTCCTGGGGTTAAGTTTCAGTGGCTGATGTTATGCTTCAAAATATGTTGAATTATACTGTAGATAATTGGGGGTTAAATTCATTTTTCCTTAAGTTGGGAGCATTTGTTTATATTGACTCATAGTACAGTTCTGTGACTTGATTAAATTTTTTTTGTTCGTTTGTTTCATTGATCAGCTCCAACTTTGCCAGACTATGAAGGAGTTGATGCCTCTCTCAATGAAACTGCAACCACAATAACTGTATTGTTGAGACCAGCTCAAGCCAAAGGTGCACCTATCAGGTAAGAGGGGAAATAACGGTTAGAGGAAAAAAAAAAAAAAAAAACCGGTGGGAGAGAGGATTTCTGAATGGTTGCTTAGCAGCAAATAAAGCCATTCATTTCTGAGATATTGATTTGACAATTAGTATCATGAAGGTTTACTGTTTCTTTGTTTTTGTTTGTTTTTCATTTAGACAATGCCTGCAAATAGACCTACAGTTAAAAGCAAAATTATAAGAGGATTTTTGAGATATTTATGAACCAAATCATTCACCTCTACACTGATTTTAGAGTACTGATCTTTTTATCTTTCTTTCATTCTTTTTCTTTAGCCCAATTTTATTTTACTTCCTTTGTTGGAATCTCTGATATAAAACCTTTGAAGATATTTGTCAAAAATAGGATGAGGAAATAACTCTTGTCCACTGCAATAAATAAGTTATGAATAATTTCATATGAGTGATTGAAAACAGGGAGCTTTGAGGGAATAAAATCCAAAAAAGTTATAAGGAATGAAGCGTATGTGACCTTTTAATTCTTGAATTGTTCCATGTGAGAAATTCCATAGTAAATATTAAAGTTCAAGTTGGCATTTCATTTGTCTTTCCAATAATAAAACCTTTCATATTACTTAATACCCATCATTTTCATAAAATTGTGGGCAGTTGTTTTTAGGGAAGAGTCAAATTATGCTATCCATTTTAATTTATGCACAACTGTTATTAGATGAGTATTTAAAATTTAAGCACATTTCTATTTAAAACTGGTAGATTTTATAGGAATTTTGTTATCAGACTTCTGCTTAAAAGTAAATCAAGTCACAAACTAAGTATAGATATTTCACAATTAAATGATCTCAAATTAAATGAACACATGTGACTTTATGAAAACATATTAACATTCAGATAATCCTGTGTTGCTGAAAGGATATAAATATTTTACTAATTAAAAAAATATATTGATTAAAAAATGTGAGACAGAAAGGAAACTCTTGATTCTGGGTAAAAATCAGAGGATACCACACTACAGAAAACGTGAAGTGGTTGAGAGTACTTGTAATGTAAACACTTATGAAGTGCTGGCTACTTGAAAATTCAAACTAAGTACACAGTGCTATTCATGAATCAGTGATCTGTGAGTGAATCTGATTGCAGATCCAAAGGAGAAAGAATATGCATGCGCTCAACATCTTTCTCTATTGACAAGTAATCAGGGTCATTCACATATTCCTACCTATGATAAAATTTTACTTTGTAGGGGTTCAATTCTGATACTGTTGTGTAAATGAGCTCTCAGATTCTTGCATTTGTCTTTTAAGAGTTACATATTTGAGTGAATTCAGCTCTTCTTAATGTAAGTTGCAAACACAGATTATTATTATTATTATTATTATTATTATTATTATTATTAATTACATTGCTATGCTATATAACTTATATAAACTCTTTAATCATTTAATTGTGTTTTTCCATAAACTTTCCATGTATTAAGTGCCTCGTATTGTTCTAGAGTTGTAAATAAAAGATAAAGTGACCACAAAAAAGCAGAGGGCCTTTGCCCAGATTTATCATGGACAATTAAGGTACCTGCAGACTCATAAATCTTTTGCTCAGGTGGTTCTCAGGAACTTAGTATATTATCTATAACACATGTTAAAGTCAAAAGTATTCCATTTTGTTTACCATTATGTAGCACATAATTTCCAATTAGCAAGAATTCCTCTAGTTCAAAGTAGTAGTTGTGCAAAAATATCCTAATGATATGTCCTCTTTTGCTGACATAGAAATAACACTCTTTGCATTTATTGGCAAGACATTTAAAATTTTCTAGAATTGAGATCAATGACTCCAAATTTACAGTCCAAGAGGTGAATAAAAAATAAATAAATAAATTCTAGAATACTACAAAAATAATTAATAATATAAACAATAATTTTTAAAAGACAAATAACTACCAAGGAAAAATTCTAATATCAACTTATATTTTAATCCCACCAAGCCATATTTAGTTTATTTGTAGAGGCTTGCTCAGCTACAGGTGGGGCCAACAGACAGGGCCATCCTGGTCTAATTGGGGAGTTTGGCTCCTATGAACTGTGCTTTTTTTTTTCTCTGAGTTCTCCTGTCAGATGGTCCTATCTTTTTCCCTCCGATGATATTACTACCTACCACTAACTGACGTCTTCTCATGAGACTATTCACTATAATGCCCTAATTTTTTTTTCAATGAGAACCCAATTTGATACAATCATTATATCACTAATTATATGGCATGGTTCTGCAAATCTTTGTTTGGATCTCCTTAACTTCCTTCTGCTGTACTGAAACTGTTTGACTTTCTGCTCAATTTCTTCTTTACTTGTTGGCCTAAAAGAATCTTTTCTCTGGTAGGTGTTGCTTGGTGTCATTCCACTCTACCTGTAGCCTCCCCCAAAAGCCAGAACTATTTACCTATTATTAGCTCAAACTCCTGAGAACATCCAGATCTTAATTCTCTGATAATATTAGCCCTAAATACTGAGTCTATCCTTGCTATTTTATAACTGTATTATTCTCCATTTCTTTTTAGTTTACCATTAGTTTTTCCCAACTCCAGTGGAAATGAACATTCTTTCTGCCTGGTGTTTCTAATATCAAACTCCAATTCTATCTGGAAAATTCTGTTTTATAGAGTTTCTATGTTATGTTTAGTTAGTTTTACTATGAAGGCTAAGAGTAATAATAGACTCAATAACATTCTACGTATGTTAGGACCTGAGCTGGATACTTGAAATAGAATTTGCCTAAAGCAGTTTAGTATATGCCTGGGAATAGGGATGGTAGATTTATAACTGATGACTGATAACAATATTGTATTATTGCAGTGACAGTTGATAGAAAATTCAGTGCTAAACCACAGGAACATATCCATAATAACACTAAATGTGAATGCTCTCAACTCCCCAATTAAAAGACATAGATTACCAGAATGCATAAAAAAAATCAAAACAAGATCCAACCACATGCTGTTTTGCAAGAGGTTCATTTAATATGTAACAACACTGGTAGGCTGAAGATGAAAGATTGGGGGACAAAATTCCACACAAATGGAGTATGTAAACAAGCCATGGAAGTTCTTCTCATATCTGACAAAATTGATTTTAAGTAAAATGAATCAGTAGCGACAAAGGCAGCCAGTACATCCTGGTAAATTGAACAATCCAACAAGAAGAAATAACAGTAGTATAATATATTCCCCAATGTCAATATACCCAATTACATTTTAAAAATACTCATTGATATTAAATCCCAAGTAAACCCCAATACAATAATACTGGGATACTTCAACACACCTTTATCCCAATAGACAGGTCATCAAAGAATAAAATCAATAAGGATATATCCAACCTAAATAATACTGTAAATCAGTTGGATCTAATAGACATCTACAAAGTATTTCACCTCAAAACAGCTAAATTTAGTTTCTTCTCAAAAGCTGATGAAGCCTTCTTCAGAATAAACCATATTTTAAGTCACAATATAATTCTCAGCAAAATTTTTTTTAAAAAAAGATAAGATCCCATGTCAGATCATAATCGAATGAAACCAGAAATCAACAGGGAGGAAAATAGCAGAGACCATGCAAACATATAGAGATAAAATAACACCCATTAAGATGAAGAATGAATCAAAGAACAAATGAGAAAAGAAATCAAAACATTCTTAGAAACAAAAGAAAACAAATGTACAACTTATTAAAATCTCTGAGACAGTTTAAATCAGTACTAAGAGGAAAATTTATTGCATTGAGAGCTTACATTATGAATTAGATTCCAAATAAATATACATATACTCTACTTTACAGCCTTGGGGAAAAGAAGAACAATTAACTGCAAAATTATTAGATGATAGGAAATAATAAAGATCAGAGCAGAAATTAATGAAATTGAGAATAAAAAAATACACAGCATCAATGCAACAAAGAGATAGCTCTTTGAATAAATAAATAAAGTTGATAAACTCTTAGACCAAACTAATCAAAAGAGGGAGAAGGCCCAAATCAACAACATTTTACATTTTGCATTTTATAAAGATCACTCTTATAGGTACATAGAGAATGCAGGCTCAAGCCTGGAATGGTCCCAGTGAATAGAGCTAATGGACCCCCAAGACAGGAACAATAGAGCTGCACACAAGCAATGGGTGGTTCTTGCATAAGGTCCTAGTTAGGGAGTATGTATGAGTCTTGGAAAGAAGGAAAATAGGGTACAGACCTTAAATGAGAGATGATGGTAATTTTTATTTTAGAAGTAGTAGCAGAGGGAAAAAAAATTACCCAAGAATTTGAAATTGTTGAATAGAAACAAATATTTTTAACATCAATACTCCAAATCAAAAATGTACACTCTTCCTATGGAAGGAAGGATAATTTATCTCTAGGACATCATGGTGTGGATAGAAGAAATGACAGATTTGCCATGGAAACTCCTCTTTCTGGACAACACAGCACTCAGTAGCACCAGGCACACAGACCTTCTGTCACCCAGTAAGCCTGCCTAGCTGTGCCGATGAGCCACACATGTGAGGTGATCCTGGCAAGTTGGTTCTGCCAGTTGGTTGTAGTAAAACTCATTTTTTAAAATTTCATGATCATTCTAAAGATGGAAAGTCACTGCCTGATACAACTACTGTGTTGCCTCTCCTTACTACCTCTCTGAAATCTAGACTTAAAACTATCATCATTTGACAATCATTGCTCTTTTATTCATTCAAAATGAATATGTCCTACATTTCAAATCAATTTTGTGGAATACATAACTTCTTTAATTTTTCTCTAAACAGTAGAATATTGTAAAAATACAGACAAATTCCTCTGATAGTTCAGTTTATTCAAAGGTGTAATAAATGAATGTGCATTTTATTTCAGAATCTTTCAAATTATAAGCTGTACCTATGTTAAATTATCAAGAAGATATCCAATCTAAAGTTAATTTATTTCCTGGGTACACTCTAATTTTTCATTTAAGGATCATAATTTTTAAA